TGTATATGGAAATGCCAACAACCTCTTAAAGGACAAAACAATTGTAAGACCGACTTTACTAGCTCTTAAACCTTAATAAAGTTATAGTAATATATGGCACTGCTAAAAGGAAACGAGGAATGGAATGTAATAGACAGCTTAGGAACAGACCTACACATATATGGTCATTATGACAAAGGTGGAACTGCAAGAGAAAGTTAAAGATGGTCTTTTCAGTAAATAATATTGGAATAGTTGGATTTCCATATGGAAAAGGTGAAATCTCACCCCAACCCTATACACAAAAGTCAATTTCAAGTGGGTTATGGATATAAAAATGAAAGGCGAAACAATAAAACTTCTAGAAAATAATACAAGAAAATATCTTCATAATATTAAAATCTGGAAAGACTTAAACAGAACATAAAGATAAAGACTGATAAATTTGACTACTGTAAAATTTAAAATCTCAGTACATCAGAAAAAAAAAAGGCAAACAATAGATTGGGAGATTATATTAATATTTGCAATGCATAACTGACAAATAGGTCAGTTCTGGAATATACAAAGCATTTCTGAACGTAATAAGAAAAGACAACTCAGTAGGAAAATGGGCAAGAGATTTGAATAGGCACTTTATAAAAATTGATAATCACGTGGCCAATAAACATATGAGATGATAATCAACCTTATCATGAATTGGTATCTTATTGTGATTTTAATTTGCAATTTCTTGATTGTTAATTAGGCTGAGTACTGTTTCACAGACACCTTGTAAGGTTATATTTATATACTAAGCAATGGTGAGAATATGGAGCAACTAGAAGAGCTTTTGTGATCTGCTTGTGGGTGTGTAAATTGGTGTAATCATTTGGATGATAGCTTGGCAATTTACTGAAATTGGATATATACATGCACTGCAACCTAAAATTTTTATTCCCAGTTGTATAACCAAAATTGATGTGAGCAGAGGTGCTCCAAGCAACATGTATAAAGCTGTTCATAGCACCATTGTTCTTAATAGCTCCAAACTGAAACAGCCCAAATGTCCATTATAAATAGAAATGGATAAATTGCAGTATTTTTGTACAAGAATATATATCGATGAAATAAGCAAATTACAACAATATGCCACTAAGTGGATTGATTTCATAAATACACATGAAAAACAGCACAGAATACCATATACTGTGTGATTTAATTTATGTAAAGTTCAAAAATAGGCAAAGCAAAGCAATAGTTTTATTTACACTTCTGTAGATGAAAACTATTATACACATGCATATGTATGAATATTTAGGTGGTAAAATTATAAAGGAGAGTAAAGAAATGATTGCATTATAATAAGGCTAATGGCTACTTTTCAAAGGGAAAGAGAGGCTGGTGATGGGAAAGGGGCATGAGTGGAGTACCTGAGGTGCTCGCAATGTAATATTTCTTGGCCTATGTGGTATTTGCTTTGTGATAAATCAGTAAGCTGTGGTTCTTTGTTTTTGCACTTTTCATAAGTGTAATTCCTAATAAACATTTAAACATTGCTTGTTTCTGGCCACGTGAAATATGGATAGAAATATGTTTTGCTAATTTTTTTTTTTTTTTTTTTTGAGATGGAGTCTTGCTCTGTTACCCATACTGGAGTGCAGTGGCGCAATCTCAGCTCACTGCAGCCTCTGCACCATCCCCATCACCCCAGTTCCAGCAATTCTCCTGCCTCAGCCTCCTGGGTAGCGGGAATAAAAGGTGCATGCCACCACGCGCAGCTAATTTTTATATTTTTAGTAGAAACAGGGTTTCACCATGTTGACCAGGCTTGTCTCGAACTCCTGACCAGGTGGTCTGCCCACCTTGGACTCCCAAAGTGTTGAGATTACAGGCATGAGCCACTGCACCCGGCCAGTAGATTTAATGGGCACAAACAATTGACAAAAATATAAATACATCAGAGGAACAGAATAAAACGTCCAGACATAAACCAACATATTTATGACCAAATTATCTTTGACAAAGGCACCAAAGAAATCCAGTGAGGATAAGGAAAGTCTTTTCAATAACTGGTGTTGTAACAACTTAGTATACATGTAGAAAAAAAATCCCTGATGTCTACCTCACTAGTACACAAAAATTAATTCAAGACAGATTATAGACCTGAACATATAAAGCTACATATAACCTAACATTCTAAAGTTCCGAGAAGAAAACATAGACAATATCTTTGTAGTCATAGATAAGGCAACAACTCCTTGGAGAGGAACCAGACAGAGAAAAGAAACAATGAAAAATTAATAAAGTTGACTTCATGAAAATTTAAAATTTCTCATTAAGATACAGTTAAAAATGAAAAGGCAAGCCACAGCCTATAAAAAAATTCCCAACACATGTATGACAAAAGACTTGTATGCAGAATATATGAAGAATTCCTACAAACCAATAATGAAGACCTAATTTTAAAATGGACAAAAGACTTAAACAGACATTTCTCAAAGAAAGACATATAATAATCAATCAACATATTAAAACAAATTTTCAACATGGGAAATGAAACTTTGAACCACAACAAGATACCACTTGACATCTACCAGGATGGCAAAAAATTTAAAAGACTGGCAACCAAATATTAGAATGTAGAGCAACTGGGACTCTAATACATTGTTGGTGGGAATGTAAAATTGTATTCTCACTTTGTAAAAAGGTTCGACAGTTTTGTTTCCTAGCAAAGGAAAATCTACATGTATTACCTGACCAGCAGTTTATCTCTTAGGTAAATAAAGACATAACTATTACATAACATCCACTAATAGTCAAATTGTGGCAATCCATATTAGAGAACAGTATACAGATGTTAAAAAATTATAAAGATGTATGTATATTAAACATGTCTAAGATACTTAGTGAAGTAGGGTGGGAAAAACAAATTGGTGGTCAGTATATATAGAATGATGCTGTATACATGAAGAAGACATTGTGATTGATCATTGTGGTTGATTCCATCTCAGTTGATTAAATCAGTTAGTATAAGATATTCTTCCACTGGCAGCCATGTGGTTTACATTTTATAATGGTGAGCCTTAGGATGAGGATGACAAAGTGGAGAGGCATAAAGAAACTGAGCTCTGGATGGCCACTGAGTCACTGATTATACCATCCCTTGAATCCACTCTACTTCTGGGTTTCTAGATGTGTGAAATAACATATTTTTTTCCTAGCATATTCCAAAAGCATCTGAATTGGGTGGTTGAAAGTGAGAAAGCCTAAAAAGGTAAAAACCAAAATGTTGATATTTATCTCTGCATAATGAGATTATGGATTTGTTTTCTTTTTCCTTAAGCTATACTTTTAACTTTTATACAATAAACAAGTCTGATAAAAATAATTACTCATAAAAAGCATTCCAGATTAAACACCTTTTATTCAGAACCTGTATTATTTCTGGGATTTTCTATGACTCCTGGATACGTATCCCTTTTATAAGATCATTTACATATGCCATATCTCAGTGATCAAAAAGTGGGATCAACCAAAGATAAATTAGAGAACAGATAACAAGAAGTCTCACAGTAGCCAAGTGGAAAAAGAGATACATAAAATGGAATATACTTACCACCTATTTAGGCTTTTAAATCAGTGCTGTAAATGGTTGAATCAGTCCTCGAGCTGTGAATTGTTAAGTTTTTCTTCCATAAAAGAATGACAGATATAATACAAATAAATGTATTCCACGGATTTTGACTGACCATCATGAAGACATTTTCTAAATACGCATTTATTGATTTTCTGAGAAACCAGTATTTTGTTATCAAGGACAGTATTATTTACAGATGTGGAACTCAAACTAATCAAATAAAGGAGGGTTGAGAGGATGAAGAATACCACACAAACAGAAAGCTTTAAAACAAAATATTTGCCATTCTTAACAAAAGCATAAAAATTAACAGCTCTAGGACTGACTCAACTATTTGCAGTACTGATTTAAAAGCCTGAATAGATAATATATATATATATATATATATATATATATATATATATACACACACACATACATATTTGCTATTCTAAACTTATTTTTGTACAGGGGTTACATCTAAAATATGAGCTATTTTTGGACATGTAGGCCTGTCTGCTATACTGGTGGTTAGGACCTGAAGGAGTTTTCTTTTGCATACAAGTTTATTATTTTTTTCTTTTTCTTTAAAAGAAAATGAAGTATATGGTGTAGGGCTGAAGTGGTGTTGCCTCAGCCGGGCCTAAGGCCTATGGAGAAAGAAGCTGAAGGCCAAAGCAAAAATCTTCCCAAGGTGATCCATGAGACATAATGGCACAAACAGCACGGATTTGGTGCTCATATGACATGATAACTGCTAAGTGCAGTCTCCATCTGGGAACATGACTGACTAGAGGAGGACTCAAAAGAATGCCGTATTGTTTTCACAGCTCAACAGTTTGCAGCTTTGTGAGAACTGGGAAACACATTATTTGTTATGCACAGACATCTGAGTTCTCTTGGGACAGTGATAACTACCACTTTCAAGTAGCTTTTTGAAGAGCAGACCTCAACAAGGATAGGAGGTTGTGATAATGGAAAGATGAATATGGAATTTTCCAGGCTACTTGCCATAAAGACAGCTGCAAAATCTATCACTGAATAACAGTCAAGAAGTACCTATATCAGTAATACATGTTGATGTTTAAGTCCATTACAGATTAAATTGCTTACTATAGAATACTCAGAAAATCTTGAAATGCTTTGTTTCAAGCCAAAGTCTTCTACTTAAACAACCCTAGCTCTAGAGTAGCTTTTTTGCAATGATATTGCCCGACATAAGGCATTTTATGCAGTAGACGTATATGACGTTATTTACATTTAAGGAATATGTGGATGAGAACTTCGCATTGTTCAACCATCCATCAATTCATCTCTCCATATGTCCATTGATCTGTCTGTCCATCTAATTTATAGACATTTAACTGAATGCTCACCCTGTTTCAAATACAATGTAAAGAACAATTTTAGTGGAACAGTGGATATGGGTATCAGAAATGGGTTACATCTGATTCTCAAAATACAGCCGGCCCTCAGTAAGGATACTCTGATAAGCTGTAAACTTGATCCTTATATACAAGTTATAATGATAGGATCTCATGGTTCTTTACCAGAAGGACTAGTTATGAATGCATAAAGAAGAGCATAAGCAGAAATTAATAAAATCTCTAACTATTTTCTTAACTGAGAAGTCTAGATTTTGTGCAACTTTTGAAAATCAGCATACACAAAGGCAAATAGCTGAAATTCCTAATGTTCTCAGAATGGGAGCTATTTTATCAGTTCATTAATTTTTGCTTAAGTTGGTTAAGGCTTTCAACTAATGAGAAGATTTTAAATAAAACATTTAAAATTTTAATTATAATTTGCTTATCTTTATTATGAATTTATTTGGTTGTGTGTGATTCATTTAACTCTACAATACAGTGATACAAATTTGCATCAATATGGTAGACTGTTTTTCTTCTGTAGCTAGATTTGTCCTCTATTGGTTATGCCAAATACACTTGTTGTTAAAGCTGATGTACACATAGTCTCCAAGGTGTTTGTCCAGTAACACTTATTTGTCACTAAATTCTTGCTCCATTAAAAAAATACAAATAACTAGGGTAGTTAGGCTGTGAAGTCATTTTTTCCCCCATCAAATAGCTCATGATCACCAAGACCAGAGAGTAGTGCAGATGACATTTAAGAAATTTGATCCTAAAAAGAGGAAAGCTGGTAGCTAAAGGAGAAGTGGCAGGGGTGGGGGGACATCTGAGAGTATCTTTCTTTTTGGAAGATAAGCCTGAGCATGTTTATAAGATTCATCTTGACAGCCATTATCAAGCAAAGAGGCTGAAGGGAAAGGAAGAATAAAAGGTAGAGTAAGAGTCCCACAGGTAGAATAGAATGATATCAGGGGCTCAGGAGAAAGAGAATTGTGTTATAAAATAAGTATAAAATCAATAATGAACAAAAAACCATCATGAAACTATTCAATATAATAATGCAGAAGAAGGTATGAATGAAATGTCATAAGGTGTATTATAGTGTGATGATGTTATTACATCCAATGAATGCTTAGTAAAATCTTAGCCCATACAAAACACTACATTTTAGCCTAGATCTATCAATGAATAATTTGAAAATATGCAACTAAATGTTCTTCATTTATTTTGAAGCAAATAATGTTTCACTTTTTTTTTTTTCCAGATTGGACTCCTTCTTGTCCTGAGGCAGTATATATCCCGACAGGCTTAGAGACGGAACCGCTTTATCCAGAATCGAAGGAAGATACTGTGGTTTATCTGGCTGAAGATGGTGGGCACATAATGACATATGTTGATGTAAAATATAATTTGGTACTTAGGTTAATCTCGAGTTATATTTGTTTTGCTGCTTATAGCAGAAATGTCAGATTACCAGTCCCCAAACATAAAGATGCTTGGCTACATATTGATCTAAGTGTTGATTTAGTGCCAGTTAGATTTTTAAAGGTGTATTGCAGTTTATTAAAATTAAACATCATGTTGGCCATTAGAATGAAGAGTTATATTTAAAATGATTTTGCTTCATATCAATTTTGAAAGATAAACCCAGTGAAGTGCTTTGCAATTACTGTTCCCTCTCCATGTACTGCTCACATTAATGCATTTTTTCAGATGTTTTTCTTTTAATTTCCTGACTCTGATGCATTTCTTGGTGTTTTAATCTTTAAAAGAGAAAGAATGACCCCACTTTGCAAAAAATATCTAAGATTATATCTCAGGAAAGTGTTCTTAACCCTCAAGATTCATATTTTTAACTTTGAAAACTATTGATGCAAAACATTTTGTTTGCTTTCATGATGATAGAGTATGCTAATAATCAAACATAGAAGTCTCAGAGTATATTCTCAACTATACTGCTCCTGAAGCACCAGCTTAAGGAAGTATAGACTCCGCACAATTTCACTATCACAATTTAATATCTTAGAGTATTTTCATATATTAAAAATAACTTCCAGGGAGGGTATGTATTTTATTTAAGGGGCTAGCAAGACAAAGGGAAATTCACAGAGACTGCTTCCTATACAGTAAGCAATTTCTAGAAACCATACACTCACAAACAACTCACAAAAAATACACTCACAATATTTTTAAACAAGTGGAGTGAGAGGAGTACCTCTGATTTTTCCAATTTGATTGTAAATATTTATATGGTGAACATGCCTCAGAACTGCCATACGTAACTGAAATGAGATCTGATTTTAAACACTAAACTAATTGAGATGAATCAGTCAGGGTCTTTTCAGGAATTACCATACTCAGAGTAATCTAAGAAAGTTTAATTAAATTTAATTTAATGAATTTTAAAAGGGTAGACAGAGATGATGGAGATTAACAAGGGATGGTGAAGCAACATAGGACTATCAACAGAGCAGACAGGTCTCCTAGGCCTGAAAGGGTGACAAGGAAGAATGGTTTCCACACCTGTAGAATCCTTCAGGTATAGAAGAGAGCAGCCTTGAAACAATTGTGGCTCTCAGTAAAGAAACAGACAACTGCCAACCCGTGGCACTGAAGGGAAAACGCTAGGGGGATAAATAACCCAGTTTCACTCTCCTTCCAACTTCCCATGTTCTACCAGTGCCTCCTATTGTCCACAGCCAAAGGGCAAGGGAACTCTGAGGCAATCAATACAGATCGTCCTCTTTGGAAATGTGTAATGTGGAGAAGAGTAGAGGATGGATCTGTAGGTAGAAACAGAGAACACACATTGCAGTCAATCCCACTTAATCTTATTTTTATGCCATACTTGGGAGCTGTGAAGATCTACCTGTCCATGGGTTGAAAGGAAAGCTATAGAACCAAGGCTTGAGGATAAAAAAACATCTGACTTACTTGATTTTCATCGAACATGTGAAAGATTAATCACAAATACTTACCTTTTTCCATTTTTACAAATGACAAAAAAGAGTAGAAAAGACAAATTCCAGTAGGTAAGATACAATTTAAATGTCAGTGAAAATTAAATGTTAATATAAAGTTAAAACCTAGGACAGGATACTGAAGAATGTGGCATACTATGAGACATGATTCATTTTTACTTTGGATAAATTGAAGTGAAATGCAAATAGAGTGAAATGTATAGATCATACGTACACAATTTGGTGAGTTTTGAAAAATATATCAACTATATAACCAACACTTCTATCAAGATGTGGAACACTTCCATCACCCCAGAAAGTTCCCATCTGTCCCCTGTCGGTCCCCAGCTCCAGCCCCAGGCAAACACTGGTCTGATTTCTGTCACCATAGATTAGTTTTGCCTGATTTTTAGCTTCATATAAATGCAGTCCTACATACAGTAAGTACATTATTGTGTCTGAATTATTTGACTTAGAATTGTTTTCACATTTTTTTTTTTTTTGAGTCTCACTCCATCACCAGGTGCCAGCAGGCTGGAGTGCAGTGGCGTGACCTCAGCTCACTGCAACCTCTGCCTCCCGGGTTCAAGCAATTCTCCTGCCTCAGCCTCCTGAGTAGCTGGGACTACAGGTGCACGCCACCACGCCCAGCTAATTTTTTTGTATTTTCAGTAGAGACGGGGTTTCACCATGTTGGCCAGGATGGTTTCGATCTCTTGACCTCATGATTCGCCTGCCTCGGCCTCCCAAAGTGCTGGGATTACAGGGGTGAGCCACTGCGCCTGGTCCTGTTTTCAGATTTATACATGTTAGCAGATTCCTTTATATTGCCAAATAGTACTCCATCATATGACTATACCACAATTTGTCTTTTTATGATTGATATGTAGTCCAGATATAAACCCTGTATCAGATATATATGATATAGTGAAATCTTCACTTTCGTCAATGGAAATCCTTTTCATTTTCATAACAATGTCTTGATGAGTAGAACTTTTAAACTTTTGTGAAGTCAATTACCAATTGTTTTTCTTTCAAATTTAGTGCATTTTACATCCTTCCCACCTATAAACTTTGCTTTTCCCAAGATCACCTATTGTTTTCAAGAAATTTTATTCTTTTCACTTTTTTATCTTTGTCTTTGATGCATCTAGAATCATATTTTATGAATGAAAACCATGTGGCATAATGGTCAAGGTTCATTTTTTGCCACTTTTTAACAAAATTGATTCATCACCAGCTATTGAAAAGAGTATCCTGTCACCTATTGAATTGCCTAGCCACCTTTATTAAATGTCAGTTAACAATATATATGTAGGTCTATTTCTAGACACTTCATTCTGTTCCTTTGATGTATTGATACTTAGGCAAGTACCACCTTATTCATATTGTAGCTTTATCCATGGCAATCTACTTTGATATAAAAATAAGCTATTCGATCTTTCTTTTTGTAGTATTTGTATAGTGTGTATATATTTTCCATCATTTTACTTTCAACCTATGTTTTATATTTAATATTTTTTAATTGTGGGAGATATACAGCATATCATTGGGATTTGCTTTTTTTTTAAGTTCTGGGATACATGTGCAGAACCTGCAGATTTGTTGCATAGGTATCTATGTGCCATGGTGGTTTGCTGGACCTATCACCTAGCTTTTAAGGCCCATATGCATTACCTGTTTGTCCTGATGCTCTCCCTCCCCTCCCCCTGGCTCTGTCAGGCCGTGGTGTTGTTGTTCCTCTCCCTGTGTCCATGTGTTCTCACTGTTCAGCTCCCACTTATGAGTGAGAACATGCAGCGTCTGGTTTTCTGTTCCTGTGTTAGTTTGCTGAGGACGATGGTGTCCAGCTTCATCCATGTCCCTGCAAAGGACATGATCTCATTTCTTTTTGTGGCTGCATAGTATTCCATGGTGTATTTGTACCACATTTTATTTATCCAGTCTATCACTGATAAGCATTTGGGTTGGTTCCATGTCTATGCCTTTGTGAATAGTGCTTCAATAAAAATACGTGTTTATGTATCTTTATAACAGAATGATATATATTCCTTTAAGTATATACCCAATAATTAGATTGCTGGCTTAAATGGTATTTTTGGTTCTAGATCCTTGAGGAATGGTTGAACTAATTTATATTCCCACCAACAATGTAAAAGCGTTTTTATTCTCTGCAGCTTCATCAGCATCTGTTGTTTCTTGACTTTTTTTATTTTTTGAGATGGAGTCTGCTCTGTTCCAAGCTGGAGTGCAGTGGTCCGATCTCAGCTCACTACATCCTCTGCCTCCTGGTTCAATTGATTCTCCTGCCTCAGCCTCCCAAGTAGCTGGGTTTATTGATTTTTAATAATTGCCATTCTGACTGGCATGAGATAGTATCTCATTGTGGTTTTGATTGATATTTCTCTAATGACCAGTGAGGAAGAGCTTTTTTTCATGTTTGTTGACCACATAAATGTGTTCTTTAGTGAAGTGTCTGTTCATATTCTTTGCCCACTTTTTGACTTTTTTTTCTTGTATATTTAAGTTCTTGTAAATTCTGGATATTAGACCTTTGTCAGGTGGGTAGATTGCAGAAATTTTCTCCCATTCTGTAGGTTGTCTGTTTGCTCTGATGATAGTTTCTTTTGCTATGCAGAGCTCTTTAGTTTAATTAGATATGATTCGTCAATTTTGGCTTTTGTTACAATTGCTTTTGGTGATTTCGTTATAAAATCTTTCCCCATGCCTGTGTACTGAATGCTATTGCCTAGGTTTTCTTTTAGAGTTTTTATGGTTGGATTTGCCTTTCATATAAATTGAAAATTTGTCTTTTAATTATTATGTTTAATATAATAATTATTATTATTTTGAGACAGAGTCTTGCTCTGTCACCCAGGCAAGAGTGCAGTGGCATGATCTCGGCTCACTGCAACCTCTGCCTCCCAGGTTCAACTGACTCTTCTTCCTCAGCCTCCTGAGTAGCTGGGATTATAGGCATGCCCCACCACCTCTGGCTAATTTTGTATTTTTAGTAGAGATGGGAATTCTCCATGTTGGTCAAGCTGGTTTCAAACTCCCAGCCACAGGTGATCCACCTGCCTTGGCCTCCCAAAATGCTGGCGTGAGCCACCGTGCCCAGCCCATATATAATTATTAATGTTGTTGGATTAATAGCTATCGTCTTACTAGCTTTGTTTTATTCCATCTGTTATTTCTTTTTTATTCTTTTTCTGCCTTCATTGACATTAATTTGAGTATATTTTATTGTTCCGTTTTATCTCCACTATCAGTTTATCAAGTATACCTGTTTTTAAATTTTTCTTGTTTTTTTTTTTGGTATATATCTTTTAGAATATTCTCTCTTCAAATAATGTTATGCCACTTCACATACAGTGTGAGCACCTTACAAAAGTATATTCTCAATTCCTTC